TTTTTTTTTTTTTTTTTTTTTGTTAACTTTTTTTTTTTCTTTTTCAGCTGTTTTTATTGCTGTTTATTGAAACGGTTCTGTTGACGCCAATTAGCAAAACAGTGAAACATCTGCAAGGTATTTCTATGCAATTTATTTTTCTTCTCTTCATCGTTGCTTTTTTTTTTTCTAAAAAAAAGAAAAAAAAAATTTTATTTCAAAGTGTTTGACATATTTTATTACAATTTAGTCATTTTTAATTTGTCACTGATTTTTTCCTCTCTAATTTTTAACGGTTCAATTGATCGCTATAAATTTCTTTTATCACTTTTGAAAAAAAAAATTTTTATTATCTTTTTTACTAGATTTTTTGATTTATTGTTATATTTAGTGTTGACTTTGAAGAACAACCTGAAGTAGTTAGTGATAATTGTAGTCTATTGTTAACGTTGTAAATGGCAGATAGAAACTGAAAAATATAAAACAATTTTTTTCACAAAGGGAAATATTAAGAAAATTACAGAAAGTTATTATGCATTTGTTTGTTATTCAGTCAGTTATAATTAGTAAATTTCCTTTCTTGATTATCCTTTAGAATTTTTCTGTTTTTGTGCAAACAAAATACCGAAAAAAAAATGTGAGATTATTGAGAAAAGATGGAAAAAAGTTAATTTAGCAGTTTAATCAGACTTAAGCAACAAAATTACATTAAGTTATTTTAAATTTATATTTTTGTCTTAATTAGTTGAACTTTAGTAACCATTGAGTTTGTCTGAGATCGTATGTGCTCGTAATATATTTTAAATTATGCAGTCTTGGAGCACAAACTAATAATTAAAAGTTTTTGGAAAAACAAGAATTAGTGGAAGAAGAATCTGAGAAAAAAAAAAAGAGACATTAAAATTTTTTTGATGATTTTGCAACTTTTCTTTTTACAAAATTTGAAACATGTTAGATATTAAATTTTACCAAAGAATATTAATGAAAGTGAAAAAAACTGTGACTGATGCTTCTAAAGAGAAGCGAGTATTGCTGCCGTTTAGTAGCGGCATGCGACATGTTCCAAATTTCTTTAAAAAAAAAAAAAAA